CCCCAGGGGATTTGGGGATCCCGAGGGGGGATTTGGGGGGATCCCGAGGGGATTTGGGGATCCCGAGGGGGCATTTGGGGATCCCCGGGGGGGGGAAATGGGATTTGGGGGATCCTGAGGGGATTTGGGGGTCCCGAGGGGATTTGGGGATTCCCGAAGGGATTTGGGGGACCCCAGGGGGTTTAGGGGGATCCCAAGGGGATTTGGGGGATCCCGAGGGGATTTTGGGGATCTGGAGAGGATTTGGGGGACCCCAGGGGGTTTAGGGGGATCCCGAGGGGATCCAGAGGGGATTTGGGGGGTCCCGAGGGGATTTGGGGGGTCCCGAGGGGATTTGGGGGGTCCCGAGGGGATCTGGAGGGGATTTGGGGGATCCAGAGGGGATTTGGGGATCCCCGGGGCGGGGAAATGGGATTTGGGGGATCCCCGGGGGGATTTGAGGGGTCCCGAGGGGATTTGGGGGTCTCGAGGGGATCTGGAGAGGATTTGGGGGATCCCCAGGGGATTTTGGGGATCTGGAGGGGATTTGGGGATCCCCGAGGGGATCTTTAGAGGATTTGGGGGGTCCCGAGGGGATTCGGGGGATCCCGAGGGGATCTGGGGGGTCCCGAGGGGATCTGGAGAGGATTTGGGGGATCCCGAGGGGATTTGGGGGGTCCCGAGGGGTTTAGGGGGATCCCAGGGATTTGGGGGATTCCAAATGGGATTTGGGGGATCCCGAGGGGTTTAGGGGGATCCCGAGGGGATTCGGGGGATCCCGAGGGGGGGGGGGAATGGGATTTGGGGGATCCCGAGGGGATTTGGGGATCCCCAGGGGATTTTGGGGATCCCGAGGGGATTTGAGGGGTCCCGAGGGGATCTTTAGAGGATTTGAGGGATCCTGAGAGGATTTGGGGGATCCAGAGGGGATTTGGGGGATCCCGAGGAGATTTGGGGGATCCTGAGGGGGTTTGGGGGATCCAGTGGGATTGGAGGGAATGTGGGGGATCCCGAGGGGCCCTGGACTGGGATTGGGATCGGGATCAGTTTGGGGATCAGAGTCAGGATTGGGATCGGGATCAGGATTTGGATTGGGATTGGGATTGGGAGTCAGGGGCAGGATCAGGATTTGGATTGGGATCGGGATCCGTTTGGGGATCGGGATCAGGGTTGGGGTCAGGATCGGAATCGGGATCAGGATCGGGATTGGGTTTGGGATTGGGGTGGGGATCAGGAGTGGGATCACTCAGGGATCTCTCTGGGATCTCCTGGGGATCTCTCTGGGATAGGTTCAGGATATCTTTGGGATAGGTTCAGGATCTCCCGGGGATCTCCCGGGATCTCTCATGGATCTCTCAATGATAGGTTTGGGATCTCCGGGGGATCTCTTGGGGATCTATCGAGGATAGGGTTAAGATATCTCTGGGATCTCTCTGGGATCTCTTGGGGATCTCTCAAGGACAGGTTCAGGATCTCTCGGGGATCTCCCGGGGATCTCCCGGGGATCTCCTGGGATCTCTCATGGATCTCTCAATGATAGGTTTGTGATCTCTGGGGGATCTCTGGGGATCTCTGGGGGATCTCTCAAGGACAGGGTCAAGATATCTCTGGGATATCTCTGGGGGATCTCCGGGGGATCTCGGGGGGATATCCGGGGGATCTCCCGGGGATCTCTTGGGGATCTCCCGGGATCTCTCATGGATCTCTCAATGATAGGTTTGGGATCTCTGGGGGATCTCCTGAGGATCTCTCTGGGATCTCTGGGGGATCTCTGGGTGATCTCTAGGGGATCTCTGGGGGATCTCTCAAGGATAGGGTCAAGATCTCTCTGGGGGATCTCCGGGGGATCTCGGGGTGATCTCCGGGGGATCTCCGGGGGATCTCCGGGGGATCTCCAGGGGATCTCCAGGGGATCTCTGGGGGATCTTGGGGGGATCTCCAGGGGATCTCTGATGGATATCTCTGGGGGATCTCCAGGGGATCTCTGGGGGATATCTCTGGGATCTTTCAGGGATCTCCAGGGGATTTCTAGGGGGATCTCAGGGGGATCTCGGGGTGATCTCCAGGGGATCTCTGGGAGATCTCTGGGATATCACTGGGGGCTCTCCGGGGGATCTCTGAGGGATCTCGGGGGGATCTCCAGGGGATCTCCAGGGGATTTCTAGGGGGATCTCTGAGGGATCTCAGGGGGATCTCCGAGGGATATCCAGGGGATCTCCGAGGGATATCCAGGGGATCTCTGGGGGATCTCGGGGGGATCTCTGATGGATCTCTGAGGGATCTCCTGGGGATCTCCAGGGGATATCTCTGGGGGCTCTCCGGGGGATCTCTAGGGGATATCTCTGAGGGATCTCTGGGTGATCTCTGGGGGATCTCTAGGGGATATCTCTGGGATCTTTCAGGGATCTCCTGGGGCTCTCCGGGGGCTCCCAGGGCTCTCCGGGGCTGGGTCCCCGCTCACCGTCCTGTGCCGGGCGCGCAGGGCCCAGCTCCAGTTCTCCCTCACGTTCCGGTACCAGTTCAGGGGACCCCTGGGGGGCAAAGCAGAGACCCGGAACTGGATCCGCTGCGGGGACGGGGGATCGGGGATCCGCGGCGGGGATCCGGCGGATCCCGGGCTCTCACCGGAAGCCGGACGCGCGGAACTGCCGGACGTAGTAATCCAGCGCCGGCGGCGGCAGCAGGCGGCTGCCGGGGGGATCCTCCGGGAGCCCCACCAGGAGCCCCCCTGCGGAGGAGGGATCCAGCGGGATCGGCCACAGATCTCCCCTTCGGGATCTCGCCCGGATCCCCCCTCGGGATCGGCCCCAGATCCCCCCTCGGGATCACCAAAATCTCTCGGGATCTCCCCCAGACCCACCTGGGATCGGCCCCGGATCCCCCCTTGGGATCACTGGGATCCCTTGGGATCAGCCCCAAATTTTCCTTCAGGATCTCCCCCAGATCCACCTGGGATCGGCCCTGGATCCCCCCTCGGGATCGGCCCCATATCCCCCTTTGGGATCGGCCCCAAATTTCCCTTCGGGATCTCCCCCAGATCCACCTGGGATCGGCCCCAGATTCCCCCTTGGGATCACTGGGATCCCTTGGGATCAACCCCAAATCCCCCTTCGGGATCTCCCCCAGATCCCCCCTTGGATTGTCCTCAGATTCCCCCTCGGGATCAACCCCAGATCCCACTTTGGGATCACTGAGATCCCTTGGGATCTCACCCGGATCCCCCCTCGGGATCGGCCCCCAATTCCCCCTCAGGATCACTGAGATCCATCGGGATCTCGCCCGGATCCCCCCTCGGGATCGGCCCCAGATCCCCCCTCAGGATCACCAAAATCTCTCGGGATCTCCCCCAGATCCACCTGGGATCGGCCCCAGATCCATCCTCGGGATTGGCCCCGGATTCCCCCTTTGGGATCGGCCCCAAATTTCCCTTCGGGATCTCCCCCAGATCCACCTGGGATTGGCCCCAGATCCCCCCTCGGGATCGGCCCAGATCCCCCCTTGGGATCACTGGGATCCCTTTTGGGATCAGCCCCAAATCCCCCTTCAGGATCTCCCCCAGATCCACCTGGGATCGGGCCCGGATTCCTCTTTGGGTTTGGCCCCAAATTTCCCTTCAGGATCTCACCCGGATCCCCCCTCGGGATCGGCCCCAGATCCCCCCTCGGGATCACCAAAATCTCTTGGGATTGGCCCCAGATCCACCTGGGATTGGCCCCAGATCCCCCCTTGGGATCGGCCCCAAATCCCCCCTCAGGATCACTGAGATCCATCGGGATCTCGCCCAGATCTCCCCTCGGGATCGGCCCCAGATCCTCCCACAGGATCGGCCCCAGATCCCATTTTGGGATCGGCCCCAGATCCCATTTTGGGATCGGCCTCAGATTCCTCCTTGGGATCACTGAGATCCATCGGGATCGGCCCCAGATCCCCCCTCACGATCAGCCTCCGATTCCCCCCTGGAATCTCCCCCAGATCCCCCCTCGGGATCACCGAAATCTCTCGGGATCTTCCCCGGATCCCCCCTTGGGATCAGCCCCGGATCCCCCCTTGGGATCACCGAAATCTCTCGGGATCTTCCCCGGATCCCCCCTTGGGATCAGCCCCGGATCTCCCCCTCCTCACGATCCTCCCGCTGAAAAATCTCTGGGAGATCTTCCCCAGATCCTGCAGGATCCCCCATTCCCAGGATCCCCCAAATCCCAGGGGATTCCCCCAAATCCCACAGGATTCCACAAATCCCGCGGGATCCCCCCAATCCCAGGGGATTCCCCATTCCCAGAATTCCTAAATCCCGCGGGATCCCCCCAATCCCAGGGGATTCCCCATTCCCAGAAT